ATCGTAGAACCAAGCAATGTGAAGTCTCTGACAACTTCAATCTCTTCTCCGTTTATCGTGATGCTGCTTACAGGTCCAGTTGTGAGGATCTTTGTTTTCTTTATATTGAGACATAATCCATACTGCAGACTGTATTCTTCAATCTTCACCAGTGAGTGCTTCAAGTCATCCTCACTTTCAACAAGCAAAGTTGTGTTGTCCATGTGTCGTAGGTTGTTAATTATTCTTCCGCCAATCCTGATGCCATGTTCTTCTTCATATAGTCCAGCTTCTTGGATTATTTGCTCAACATATGGATTAAATAAGTATGGTGGAAGGATACAACCCTGATGCACTCCCTTCTTGATTTTAAGCCATGCAGTATCCCCTTGTTCTGTTTGAACAGCAGCCTCCTGGTGTACGTACAGGTTCCTCATGAATACAATCAAGTATTCTGGAATTCCCATTCTTCTCAATGTTTTCCACAATTTGATATGATCCACACAATCAAATGCTTTTGCATAGTCAATAAAGCACAAGTAAACATCTTTCTGGTATTCTTTGCTTTCAGCCAAGATCCATCTGACATGAGCAATGATATCCCTTGTTCTACGTCCTCTTCTGAATCCAGCTTGCACCTCTGGAAGTTCTTTGTCAGTATACTGCTATAACTGTTTTTGAATTATCTTCAGTGAGATTTTATCTGCATGCGATATTAATGATGTTGTTTGATAATTTCCACATTCTGTGGGATCATCTCTCTTTAGAATGGGCAAAGATATGGACCTTTTCCAGTCAGTTGACCAGGTAGCTGCCTTCCAGATCTCTTGGTGTAACCAAGTGAGTGCCTCCAGTGAGTTATCCATTTGTTGAAACATTTCAGTTGGTATTCCATCAATTCCTGGAGCCTTGTTCTTCACCAGTTCCTTCAGTGCAGCTTCGACTTCTTCATTCAATACCATTGGTTCCTGATCATATGCCATCTCCTGAAATACATGAAGATCTACCAATTCTTTTTGGTACAGTGACTCTGTGTATTCCTTCAATTTTCTTTTGATGCTTCCTGCGTCATTCAGTATTTTGCCCATAGAATCTTTCAGTATTACAACTCGAGGCTTAATTTTTTTCCTCACTTCTTTCAGCTTGAGAAGCACTGAGCATGTTCTTCTCTTTTGGTTTTCTAACTCCAGGTCTTTGCACATTTCATTATAGTAGTTGGCTTTGTCTGCTAGAGCTATTCTTTGAAATCTTCTGTTCATCTCTTGTATCTTGTCGTTTCTTCCATATGCTTTAACTACTCTCCATTCAAGGGCAAGTTTCAGAGTCTCTTCCGTCATCCATTTTTGTCTTTTCTTCTTTTCTCATCTTTTTAATGACCTCTTGCTTTCTTCATGGATAATGCTCTTGATGTCATCCCACAGTTCTTCTGGTTTCGGTCATTGGTGTCCAGTGCATAAAATCTATTCTTTAGATGGTTTATAAATTCACGAGGTATATATTCCAGGTCATATTTTTGCTCTTAGGGACTTGTTTTAATTGTCTTCAACTTCAAGTTGAACCTGCATATGAGCAGTTGATGGTCTGTTGCACAATCAGCTCCTGGCCTTGTTTTGGCTGAAGATATTGAGCTTTTCCATCGCCTCTTGCCACAGATGTATCAGTCTGAGTCCTGTGTACTCCATCTGGTGAAGTCCATGTGTATAGCCACCGTTTGTATTGTTGAAAAAAGGTATTTACAATGAATAAGTTGTTGGTCTTGCAAAATTCTATCAAGTAATCTCCAGCATTATTTCTGTCACCAAGGCCAAATTTTCCAACTACTAGTGATTCTTCTTTGTTTCCAACTTTTGCATTCCAGTCACCAGTGATAATTAACACATCTTGATTGCATGTTCAGTCAATTTCAGACTGTAGAAGTTGATAAAAATCTTCAATTTCCTCATCTTTGGCTTCGGAGGTTGGTGCATAAATTTGAAAATAGTCGTATTAATGGGTCTTCCTTGTAGGCGTATGGATATTATCCTATCGCAGACAGCATTGTACTTCAGGACAGATCTTGAAACATCCTTTGTGATGATGAATACCATACCATTCCTCTTCAAATTGTCATTCCTGGCATAGTAGATCATATGGTTATCTGATTCAAAATGGCCAAAACCAGTCCATTTCAGCTTACTAATGCTTATGATACCAATCTTTATGCATTCCATTTCATTTTTGACAACTTCTAATTTTCCTAGATTCATACTTCTTACATTCCATGTTCCTAGTATTAATGGATGTTTGCAGCTGTTTCTCCTCAATTTGAGTCATGCCATGTCAGCAAATGAAGGTCTTGAAAGCTTTACTTTATCCATATCAGTAGGGTGGGTCCTACTTTGATGATGCAGCTCTTTCCTAGTTATATTTTGAAAGCCTTCTGACCTAAGGGGTTCGTTCTCCTACACTGTATTAGATAATGTTTCTGGACTATTCATGAAGTTGCCCAGTAATGTATCAAAGAGTGTTTTTCTGTTATTCATAAGGTTTTCCCTGGCCAGTTCTTTGAGAAGTGGATGGTCTCTTTCTTCCTAGTCTGTCTCAGTCTGTAAGCTGCACCGAAACCCGTGCACCATATGCAACCTTGCCAGTACTTGAAACACTGGCGGCACAGGCCCAAGCCTTACAGCAACATATAAGCCACAATAGTACGACAAACTGACAGACAAGTTTGTCTCACTTAGCTGTTCAGAATCTCTCTGCCCTCCCTTTACCTGGATCCCTGGCACTGCTCTGCTCTGTCGTGTCCTCTGCCTTCTCTTTTCCCTGCTTTCCTGGCTGGTGAGGGGCCTGGGTTGGTTCCCTTGCCTGGATCCCTGGCTGCTGCTCTGCTCTGTCGTCCCCTCTGGCTTCTCTTTCCCCCCCGCTTTACTGGCTGGTGGGGGTGGGGCCCGGGTCACTTCCCTTACCTGGATCCCTGGCTGCTGCTCTGCCAGGACCAGCCTAGAGGTTCTAAATTGTGAAAGGTTATTGTTATTGTTAATATAAGGAGCCCTGGTGGTGCAATGAGGAGCTCTGGTGGTGCAGGGGGTAAGGCATTTGGCTGCTAACCAGAAGGTTGGCAGTTCAAACCTACCAGGTGCTCCATGGGGGGAAGATAAGACAATCTACTCTGGTAAGAATTACAGCCTTGGAAACTCTATGGAGGTCACTATGAGTCAAAATTGACTTGATGTCAGTGGGTTTGGGTTTTTTTTGGTTGTGGCTCAATGGTTAAGCACTCAGCTGCTAACCAAAAGCTTGTGGGTTCAAACTCATCAGAGGCTCTGAGGGAGAAAAGACTTGAAGATCTGCTCCTATGACGATCACAGCCTAGGAAACCCTTCGGGGCAGTTCTTCTCTGTCCTATAGGGTTGCTATGAGTCAGAATTGACTCCATGGCACACAGCAACCATTCTTAATATATTTCCTACTACTTTCCCTCCCAAGTGTATTCCATTTTGCACCCCGACCCCTTTTACACAGAGGGAGTCAGAATCTACTCACTATGATGGGTTGTTATTTTATTATTTATTTTTTTTAAATGTACCTTTTGAAAGGCTGATTCATTTGCCTGGTTTAAAAAAAAAAAAAAAATGAAAAGTCTTCCCCACCACTCAGTCCTTTCCCAGCTGGCCCTGGTTATCAGGTTGTTGTGGACACTTCCAGATATGTTATATATCTTTAAGCAAATACAAATTCAGAAGTTCTTTTTCTCTCTTTTTAATGCAAACGGCGGCACACTGCACACGCTGCTCTGAACTTATTTTTAATAAAAAAAAATGTTTCTGATTGTAAAAGAAATATATGCTCATTTTGAATAACATAAATACCTGCATGTCTACTAGGAGAAAGTGAAGGGCCCCTTAGATTTTATTCCCCAGAGATAACTTCCATTATGCATCTAAAAATATGTATTTACATAAATGGACTTATGCAACAGATACTGTTCTGTAACCTATTTTTCCCCCCTTTCTCCTAATGATGCATCAAGACATCTTTCTACATTTCTTTCTGTGTCAGTTAGTGCCCTCAGGGCCATCTCTCACTATAGCCCAGGAGTTAAAGGATTCAATTAACTTTGGAGGCTTTAGATTTAGACAGAAGTAGATTGTAATCCTAGCGCTGCCACTTAGTAGCTATAGGACTTTTCAGATCCTCTCTAAGCCTGTTTTCTTATCTGTGAAATGGGGATAGTAATGGCACATGAAAAAGGAGCTCTGGTGGCACAGTGCCTAAGGCATTTGTCTACTATTCAGAAGGTTGGCAGTTCAAACCTACCAGCTACTCCTCAGGAGGAAGGTGGGGCAATCTGTTTCCATAAAGATTTACCATCTCAGAAACCAAGTGAGGGTCAGTATAAGTCGGAATTGACTCAATGGCAGTTAAGTTTGGTTTGGTTTTAATGGTACAGGAAGAGTCCTGGTAGTGCAGTGGTTAAGCATTCGGCTGTTAACTGAAAGATTGGTGGTTCGAACCCACTGGCCACTCTGCAGGAAAAAGATGATGTGGCATTCTGCTCCCACAGTAACTTCCTCATCCATAAAGATTTATAAACAGCCTTGGAAACCCTATTGGGCAGTTCTGCTTTGTCCTGTAGGATTGCTATGAGTTGGAATTAATGTCAGTGGTTTTGTTTTGTTTTTAATAGTACATACCTCATGGTGGTGGTCTGAGATCTTAATGAAATCACATGTGATGTGTTTCCTTTGTGGCCAGCCACCTTATAAGGCCCTGGTGGATGGTAAATTTTATTATGACTCTCTTACCCTTTTTAATGGCCACATAGAATCCACAGTATGATGTGTTACCATTATATTAACTATTCTCGCTTTGAGAGACATTGGGTTGGACCCATTTTTGTTGTCATTACAAATGCTGACCCAGTGAACACTGAGCATGCATCCTTCTCCCTTGTGTGAGTGTCTTCTTGGTATGAAGACCCTACAGTGGGGCCACTAGAACGTTTGGATTCTAATTTGTGCCCCTTTTCTCTCTCCAAGGAGGAAGTGGACATGCCCCATGGGGTGAAGCATGTGTGTTACGTAGGTGTTTTTTTTTTTTTTTTCTTTCTATTACAGCATGTCTTTCTCCCTTTCCCCAGGGCTGGTGGGGAGGAAGGGGTCCTTCTCAGCAGATGCAGTCCTAGCCGCTCTGGCTTGCCTTCCTCCAGTGCATCCGAATATTGCTCTCCCCCCATGATACTGAATTGCGGTTTCCCCTGAACCTTGGAACGTGATTGTTTCATGATAATTCATTCAAGGATAAGTTTTCAGACCCACCTACTTCCAAAACAATTCCCTGTGGTTTGGAATCCGTAAGATTACCCACTTAAAACAGGATAAAACCTTTAAGTAAAGAAGGGAGGAGGAGAAGGGGAATTGTTGTTGCAACTACCCCCCCATCCTGTACCAACCTTGGAAAGCTATAACTGGTAGGTAGATTCAAAGATAACATTGAGTTTCCTGGTGAAACCCTACCCAACCCACTGCCATCAGCCACAGCTAAAGGGCACCAGGATAGAGTCTGTATTTCATTAGAAGACCAAAAGCTACTCTGTACTTTGAAATGGTCATGAAAGGCTTTATCTCAGGGACAAAGAGGAAGTGATTAGCAGCCTTACAAGAAGGGGTGATGGATGTGATCACCATGTGGCTGCTTCAGTGGAAGGGCAAAGCGTGAGTCCATGATCCTGAAAAGGGGCATGGCAGATCTTTGAGGAGGAGGAGATGGAGTCAGAGCATGCATATGTCCCTGCAGATAAGAGCCACATGTCTGATCAGAAGAAGGGTTAAAAGAGTCCCAGCAGAGGGTCCTGTTAACTCGAACATGGCTAGGGGTGAGAGGGGAAGGCAACATGGGAACCAAATCAAGCCCCTCTTATGGTCCAGGGAGGCTGGCAGTCAGTAAATATTTACTGAACCCTATTATGTGCTAGACCTTTACTAAGCGTTGGGGATACAGCAAGGGCCAAGGCAGACATGTCCCCTCTCCTCATGGAGCAGAGAGTCCAATGAGGGAGAGTGACATTAAACAGTTACGGGTGAGGAGAGCACCTGAGGGGGAGGAAGGCCTCCTTCACAGCTTGGTTCTGAATTCTCTTCTCTTGCAGTTTGGTTCTGGGTTAGTGATCCGACTCCTGGGGGCCATCAGCCACAGCCAGGCAGGGGGGTCACAGGCTCCAAAGTTGGAGGCCCTGGAAGACTTGATGGAGGTCAGCACAGTCTCACCTGCCCGGAGGCCCAGAACAAAGGCAAGGCCCATGGCCCAGCGCCCCACTGGGTGCCAGGTACAGAGCTGGGTGCTTTACATACAGATGTTACTTAATCTTACTGAGTGGGGCACCTTCACACCTGATTCATAGAGATGTCACTGAGGCTCAGAGAGGGTGTGACTGACTCCTGGTCACACAGAACATGATAGAGACGGGGTTGGACCCTGGGTCTGCTGGCATCCTGGCCTGTGTGCTGGCGGAGACTAGGCCTACCGTGCATTTAGGGAGGGAGCAGGCAGCCTTTGGTCCTCGCTGACCAGTGTGTCTGCCACCCTGAGGTCCTCCAGCTGCCTCCTTCAGGATGGACAGCATGGGGCTCTGTGACCTCTGACCTCTTCCACCATGCAAAGGGCCCTTCTCTGCCCCTTGAGGGCATGTCCTCTTTCTCTTGTAGGAGGCAGGCAGCTCCTGTGGGGCAGCCAGTGCTGAGTGTCCAGGAGTAAGTGCTTGTGCCTTAGTCACAGCTTCCTTTGCTGGAGCCCCATCAGGGACAAGGTGGGAGTGGGGAGGTGGCTTAGGGGAAGTAGTACCCCCCGGACCCGGAGGCTGGGCCCAGAGGGGCAGCTTCAGTTCCTCACCCCTCCCCCTCAGGCCGTGTTTCCACAGTGTAGAGCAATGGAGGCTGAAGAGGAAGAGCCTGGTGAAGGGGAATTGGGGGAGGACTCAGGTGAGGGGCCATGGAGGGTGCCCCCTTCAACTGCCTCCTCTCTTCAGGACTACTGAGGAGGGTTTGGGCCGAATTCCTGGTCTCCAGACCCTGCTAGGACTCTTTCCCCCTCAGGGGTGGGGGCTGCTGGCTGCCTGGGCCCAATTCCTGGATGGATGGGAGAACCTAGGTTCCTAAGGGTGGGATCTGTCCCCTGCTTGCCTACGCCCCTCAGCATTGAGTCTGCCCCCCACCCTGTGCTCCTGAGTACCCTGGGAGCCCTGGACTCTCTTCCTGCAGCTGAGCCTCAGCCCCAACAAGAGAAATTACCCCTGGATGTCAGAGTACGGGACATTGTGGTCCACGCCATACAGGAGGTGTTGCAGAGTCGGTGAGGCCATGCTCCCCACTTCCCTGACATCCAAGACACCCTGACAGGGCTGCCTCCCTATACCACCATCTCCCGGGGCTCCATGAGACCTATGTCATGCCGTATTGTAAGGCTGCTGTAGGTCTGACTAACCCCATTTTATAGCTGCAAGGTCATACACCCACTCACTGGGCCCATGGAGAGCTGAAATGTGAACTTGGGTCTCTGGCTCCAAGGCTGAGCTGTCCCATTAAGCCACTGCAGCTCTCAGCCTCTACTCAGGTCCTCTGGATGTCACCCACAGCAATGCTTTAGACACAGTGAGACTCTGTGCTGGGAGAGTGTCAGAGAGCTTAGCTCAGAGCTCTTGTTTACAGATGGTGAGACCAAGGCTTAGAGAGGAATGACTCTGCAAAGACTATGCAGCATGGCAGTAGCAGATTCAGCATTACATCTGGGGTCTCCTGACCTCCAAGCCAGGGCTCTGTCCCCTTCATGGACAGATGCTTTCCCTCTCAGTTTCCTCCCCTCCACACACACCCACCAGCCATTCCTCGGAAGGAAGGTTGGGCAATCTACTTCCATAGAGATACCGCCTCGGAAACCTAAAGAGCGGTCGCTGTGAGTTGGGGCTGACTCGACGGCACACAACAACAACAACAACTACACATACCCCAGTTCCATTGGCCTAGACACAGAGCAGGGGCTGAAGAGTCAAAAGGGATCTGGGTTAAAATGTTGACTTTGCTGCTAACCTTGTGACCTTGGGCAAGCCTCTTACCTTCTTTAAGCCTCAGTCTCCCCTTCTGTAAACCAAGAATGAGAACAGTCCTTTCTTACAGGGTTGGGGTGAATATCAATGGTTCATGTAGGAAACATGCCCAAAACAGAAAGCGAAGTTGGCTCAGAACATCCTGACTCTCCTTGCCACCCATATGACTCCCTCTTGAGCTGAGTGCCCAGATCACCCCACAGACTCAGGCCCCCTGACCCTGCCCTTGAACCCCTCAGTCTTCAGGAGCTCCCACACCTGGTGCTGAGTGAGGAGATGGTGGGGAGTATTGCTGCCGGAATTGAGGCAGCCCTCTTCGACCTGACGCAAGAGACCAACTGCCGCTACAAGACCAAGTACCGCAGCCTGGTGTTCAACCTGCGCGACCCCAGGAATCTGGTGAGCAGGCTGCAGGCTGGGCAGCCTCTCCCTTAGAGACTGCCAAGACCTGGTCACCGGACAGGACGTTGGGGTTGGGGTCCTCAGAGAGTAATGCAGCCCCTGCCGCCCACCCTGCAGGACCTGTTCCTCAAAGTGGTTCGCGGAGATATCACCCCCCACAGCCTGGTGCGAATGAGCTCAATCCAGCTGGCCCCCCAAGAACTGGCCCGCTGGCGGGAACAGGAAGAGAAAAAGGTGAGCTGTTGGGCCCTGTCAGAGAAGGGAACCAGGACATAGGGGAGATAGGGTGTGAGCAAGGTGGCCCAAGGATGGAGCAGAGAGACAGAAGATGGAATGAAAAGGAAGATGGAGTGAAGACAGGGGCCTCAGGGTGGAGGGCAGGCCCTTGGCCGCCAAAGATAAAGATGCCCTAACACACCTGAGCTTAGGCTGCCTCACCCTCCCAGGGCCTGGAGATCATTCAGCAGCAGCAGCAGGAGCCATGCAGCCTCCCAGCCACCAAACTAACCCACAAGGGCGAGGTGGAGATCCTGCGGGATGTCGACCAGATGCTGACACTGGAGGATCTGGTGGTAAGTGCAGCCCTGATCTGGCTCTAGGTGGGGCCTGTGCCCAGGTATCCCACTTCTCACCTCACTCGCTGTGTGGCCTTGGACAAGTAGCTTCACCACACTGAGGCCTACCTTGTTGTGTGATCATTACCTTACAGGATCCCGGCAGCATGGAATGAGATAGAGCTGCCTCCATAGGGCCTGGAGAGTACCTCCTTGGTGCTGGTCCCCTTCCTCTTTGCCCAGCCCTGAAGCATTGAAAACCCCGTGGAGCACAGTTCTGCTCTGACATGCATGGGTTCACTATGAGTCAAGGTTGACCAGTGTTACCTGGGTCCAAAAAAAAAAAAAAAAAAATCAAACTCACTGCCGTCAAGTGAATTAGACTCATAGCAACCCCTCCTTGGGTTTCCAAGGCGGTATCACTATAGAAGTAGATTGCCCAACTTTCCTTCCAAGGAGTGGCTGGTGGGTTTGAACCACCAGCCTTCTGGTTAGCAGTCAGATGCCTTAGGCACCATACCACCAAGTTACTGGTGTATATATATATATAAATACTATATGTGTGTGTGTGTATCAGTACATACTGTATTCTACGTTTAAAGCGATATCTATTGTGAGAAGAAAAGTGGTCTGGCAATCTAGAGAGTCTTAACAATGTTCATTTTCCCTGATTCTCTTATCTGCTTCTGGGAACTTATTCTAAGGAAATCATCCAGAGTTTAGGCTCTGTCGGCATAGTATTGTCCTCAGTGTTATTTATAATTGTGAAAAATTGGAAATGACCCGAATGTCTAGCAACAGAACTGACTCATAAACTACAGTCCACTCCATAAGTGTGGTGTTGGCAGAGACTATGCAGTGTGGCAAATGCCTCTGCTGTAATTAATGAGCAAAATGAAAATACAAAGTTAAGTATTTGATTCCAGCTATTTTAGTAAAAGGGCCTCAAAACCCTGTGCATAGAAAAACTATTAGAAAGGAATATCTAGAATATCAGCCAATGATGAGATTTGTTTTCTTTTTCAACTTTTTTACATTTTCCTAATTTTCTCTAACAAGTACTGAAAGAATATATCGTTCGGTAAGATAAAATAAACCACACCCCTGAGGCCCCGTAACCCCTGGATGGTCCCTGATGTCCAAGCTGCCTTCCCAGCATGCCATCTCTCCTGTCTCTTGCAGGGACCCATGGTGTCCATAGACCACAGCCCATCAGCCCTGCCTGCCACATCAGGGGACACCACAGAGCAGCACGAGCAGCACTTCCTAGACCCTAACTGCCGAATCTGCAAGGGTATGGGGGGCGGTGCAAGGGTTGGTGTCGGGTCAGTGGGCAAGCTGGGGCTGAGCATGGGGGTTCAGCAGCAATAAATATTTGTGGCCTTGGGAGGTGTCTGGGTGGGGGTGCCCATGCCCCAGAGCACCTTGCAAAGAACCTGGCTCAAATCTTGGCTCTCACACCCTGATTGGGTTCAGGCTCACTGCCTGTTTTAGCTCTTGTGTATGCTGTTTGCAGACTGGGAGCCCTCGGGTGAGCTGCCAGACTGCTTCAAAGCCATCAGGAGGAAAGAAGACAATATCTTCCAGAGAGTCCCAAGCCCAAGTCCTGTGTCCTCTCCAGAGATGCCCCTAAACAGGGAGAGGCCTCTCACAGATACCCAGGACAGGTATGGGGCCAGGGGCTGGGAAGTGAGCAGCTGGGGGAGGGCCGTCAGCTAGTGTGGCAGACACAGCAGGGGCTTTTCTTGCTGTGGGGTCTTGGGCAAATCCTGTTACCCCTGGTGGGCTTCAGTTTCCCCAGCTGTGAAGTGGAATGAATCATCCCAGCCTGCTGCACCCCCTGCACAAGGCCATTCTTGGACCAGCCTGTTAATTCAGCCAGCACTGTCATGGTCTTTGTTCTAACCCTCTACTGCAGGGACACAGGCCCTGCTCTGAAAAGAGAGGAGCAGAAGCTGGGGCACAGATGCTGGGGGAAGGCCTGGTGACCTGTTCTGGCTGGCTCTGCCTTTCTCTCTCTTTAGGTCCCAGATACCTGCTGGATCCACAAAGACCCTGCCTAGCCAGCCTCCCTGGGAGGGAACTCTAGATATGTTCTCCATCAAGCGGTTCCGGGCTAAGGCCCAACTGGTCTCAGGGCACAGCTGTCGGCTCGTTCAGGTACTCCTGCCCTGTGCACCCAGGTCTCCCTCACACACTGCCCGGCCCAGTCAGCTACTCACACTCCCATTTGTGCATTCATTCATTCTTTCTTTTATTCATTTCCTCTAAAACAAATCATTGGAACCCCTCTGTGCCAGGCTTTGTGCCAGGCGTGGGGGCAAATGATATGCTAGCCCCACTCCTGTAGACACACACACGATAAAGGACCCAGGGCACAAAGTGCCTGGCAGAGGAGTGTGGTGCCTTCCTGGCCCTGCCCAGACCAAAAAAAAAACCAACTGTCATTGAGTCAATTCTTACTCATAGCGACCCCCATTGGGTTTCCAAGGTGGTAAATTTTTACAGAAGTAGATTGCCAAGTCTTGCTTCCATGGAGTAGCTGATGGGTTTGAACCACCAACCTTCAGGTTAACGGTCAGACTGCCTTTGGGCACTGTGCTACCAGAGGTCCGGCCCTGCCCAAAGGAGGGTTTTAGGAGTGATTGTTGAGTGACTGAATGATCAGATAAAGTGTTGAAAGGATGGGGAGTGCAGGGCTTCTGAGAACAGCTGTAAGAGAGGGGCCTGGCCAGGCTGGAGGCCTCCAGGGCAGGTAGGGCTTCCTGGCAGCCACTGAGGGTCCTGACATACTGCCTGCCCATCCTCCTCGCTGAGTGCTGCAGCCTTCCAGATGGTTGGTATTGAGTCTGCCCTAAGTGGGTGGGAAGCTGGGAGCTTACTGGCCAACCTGTCTGCCCCCTAGGCCTTGCCTGAAGTGATCCGCTCAGCGGGCTGCATTGCCCCAAACACTGTCTGGGACCTGCTGGCCAGCATCTGCCCAGCTGAGGCCAAGGTAACTGACCACCCTTGGGCGCCATCTCTTCTCCCAGCACCTTACCCCTGCCTATCTTAGTTTCCCGGTGCTACTGGAACAGAAATATCACAAGTGGGTGGCTTTAAAGAACAGAAATTTATTTTCTCACCGTTTTGGCAGAAGCTCAAAGTCCGAATTCAGGGCTTGGCTAGAGGAGAAGCCTCTCTGTTGGCTGGGGGAAGATCCTTGTTTCTCTCAGTTCTGTAGCCTTGGCATTCCTCAGTTCCTTAGCGATTTTCCCTAGCGTCTGTCTTCCCCCACCCCCACCCCCATGTCTGCCTCTATGTCTAATCTTCCCCCCAAAAAAAGAAAACAAGCTCCCTGCCATCAAGTCAGTTCCAACTCGTTGGGTTTCCAAGGCAGTATCTCTGAAAGTAGATTGCCCAGTCTTCCTCCCACAGAGTGCCTGTTATATTTGAACCACCAACCTTCTGGTTAGCAGTCAATTGCCTTAGGCACCAAGCCACCAGAGCTCTGGGCCTTTTGAAATCCCACAAGTGATAAGGTTTAGGACACACCCTACACTGACATAACCTCATTAACATAACGAAGAATATCTTATTCCCAAATGGGATTACATCTACAGGTATAAGAGTTGGGATTCCAAGACATATTTTGAGGGGACACAATTCAATATCATCCCTGCCTCCTCCTCTCTCCACCTTTGAGGCCAAAGCCTGGTTTTTGGATACTGGGTCTGGTTTCCAGCATGACTACAGATTCAACATGTGACTTTGGGCTAGTCCCTCTGTTTCTGCCACTTCCCAGTGGGAACTCCTCACAGGGTCCTCAGAGGTCTAGAGGAGACCAGGGGTGTTTGCAAGAGCAAGGGATGGCTGCTCCTACAGCTGCTCTCTTTCATGTGGCCGTAGGACATCAGTGTGGTCAAACTGTGCCCACAAGGGGCTCGGGACACCCAGAACTGCCGCCTGCTCTACTCCTACCTCAACAATAAGCAGCGCCATTGCCTGGCAGCTGTGGACCACATGGGGGTGGTCCTGCTGCCCCTGCCTGCCTTTCAGCCCCTGCCCGCCAGATTGCGTCCTCTTGGAGGCCCAGGTGAGTGTCCAATGCCCATACCAGTCTTTGCCTCCCCTGATTTGGTGACTAGACTGGGTCTTGTTGACACAGCCACACGCGTCTCACTAGAGGCAAACACATCTCAGAAGGAAACTCCAGAAACAGACAAATGTGATGGTAACAGGGACAGTAATAGCTTCATATGAGCCAGGCAGGGGCTACTCCTGGAACCCCTCTTAAGCAGCACCAGCTGGCCACTGCTTTGGCCACCAGCACCTCAGATCCCTGGGGACCACCAACTCCAAGTCTCACAGCAGCCCCCGGGCCAGGAGCTCTTGTCCCCACCCTCTCTAGGGTCTTGTTGGCTATGTACATTGCTCTAGAAACTTTGCCTAGATTCATTTAAGTCTCAAAAGAACTGTACACAGTGTTGTTGTTGTTATGTGCCGTCAAGTCAGTAGCAACCCCTCCTTGGGTTTCTGAGGCGGTATCACTATGGAAGTAGATTGCCCAAACTTCCTTCCAAGGAGTGGCTGGTGGGTTTGAACTGCCAGCCTTCTAGTTAGCAGTCAAGTGCCTTAGACACTATGCTACCAGGGCACACTGTTAATTTCTCCATTTCACAGATGAGGAGGACACTGAGGTGGGGAGAGGGCAAGTGACTTGTTCAAGGTCATCTAGCTAGGCAGAAGTAGAGCCGCGCTTCATACCAAGTACCACAGCTTCATAGACTGGGCACCTAACCTCCTAACCTTTCTCTTCATTAAACCATACCAAGCCCACTGCCATTGAGTGAGTTCCAACTCATAGCGACCCCCATAGGCTTTCCAAGGCCATAAATCTTTACAGAAGCAAACTGCCTCATCTTTCTCCCATGGAGCGGCTGGTGTGTTTCAACCTCCAACCTTTCATTTAGTAGCCCAATGCTTTAACCACAGCCCCACCAGAGCTCCTCTCCGTTAGATGAAACCCCTGGACTGAACTCATGGGACAGGCATATCTGACCCAGATGCATCAAGACAGACAGACCCACAAATAGTTGGCTGAAAGCATCACCTGAGACAGGGAGGGAGGGATGTTTTCACCACAGCTGTTCTGAGCCAGTGAGGCATTGGTGTTTCTGCAGTAATAAAATTCTCGCCTTTCGTGTGGGAGACCCAGGTTTGATTCCTGGCCAATACACCTGATGCACAGCCACCGCACATCTGTCATTGGAGACCTGCATGTTGCTATGATGCTGGACAGGTTTCAGTGGCACTTCCAGACTAAGATTGGCTAGGAAGCAGGGCCTGGTGATCTACTTCTGAAGATTGCTGTTGTTAGGTGCCGTCGAGTCGTCTCCAACTCATAGTGACCCTATGTATAACAGAATGAACATTGCCCAGTCCTGTGCCAGCCTCACAATCCTTGCTATACTTGACCCCATCTGCCAAAGGGGCAGGGAGGCTGCAACTTCTGACCTCCTCTAAGTGCACAAGAGGAAGACAGAATCGCCATCAGTAGCCCAAGGCCTATCCCTGTGAGGTGAAACATGCTGCCTCCCTCCAGCCGTTTCACCAATCCCAACACCAACCGTTCCTCTTGCAGCACCCACCACCTTTCTGCTGGGTTCAATAATTCGCTGCAGTGGCCACATAGAACTCACAGATCATGGGGTTTATTAGGGAAGCACCAGGCTACAATTCAAGTTCAGGAACAACGCTCAGTCTCTCTCAGCCTGCCGTCTCTCAGCCAGCAGTCTCTGTCAGTCTCTCTCCTAGCAGTGCACATCCCTCAGTGTCTCTCTCTCAGCAATGCGTGTCTCCATGTCTCTTTCTCAACAGCACTTGTCTCTCAGGAGCGAGTTTCTCTCAGAAGCATGTCTTTCTCAGCCAGCAGTCAGAAAGACTCCTTCTGCCTCTAGAAGGGCTCCTTTTTGAGCCTGGCAGAGTGGCCAACTAACCAGTCCCAACATCAGAATTCTAAACACCTGTGAGGAGAGAACGTCCCAGAACATTGCTTTGTGCCACTCTTAACAGAAATACCCCAGGTAGATAACTTTTACAATCAGAAGCTCCTCAGTTGCTCACAGCAAATTCCACCATGGAGTTTACAAAGACTTATGGCTAGAAAAGCCATACCAGGTAATTTACCATTGTTGCAGCCACTGTGTCAGTCCTTCTAGTTGAGGGCCTTCCCCTTTTTCATTGACCCTCCACTTTACCAAGCATGATATCCTTCTCCAGGGAATGTTCCATTCTGACAACATGACCAAAGTAGGTGAGACGAAGTCTGGCCATTCTCACTTCTAAGGAGCATTCCAGCTGCACTTCTTCCAGGACAGATTTATTAGTTCTTTTAGCAGTCCATGGTACTTTCAGCATTCTTTGCCAACACCACAACTCAAAAGCATCAACTCTTCTTCGGTCTTCATTGTTCATTGTCCACCTCTCACATGCATATGAGGTGATTGAAAATACAATGGCTTGGGTTAGGCACACCTTAGTCTTCAAAGAGACATCTTTGCTCTTCAGCATTTGAAAGAGGTCTTTTGCAGCAGATTTGCCCAATGCAGTACGTCGTCTGATGTCTTGACTGCTGCTTCCATTGATGTTGATTGTAGAACCAAGGAATATGAAGTCTTTGACAACTTCAATCTTTTCTCCATTTCTTGTGATGCTGTTCATTGGTCCAGTTGTGAGGATTTTTGTTTTCTTTATATTGAGGTGTAATCTATACTGCAGACTGTAGTCTTTAATCTTGAGTAAGTGCTTCAAGTCATCTGAAAATTAGTAAATAAAAACTCTATGGATTACAACACTCAGATCCACAGCGGATCATGGGGATGGTGCAGTATGGGGCAGTGTTTTGTTTCATCGTGCACAGGGTCACCATAAGTTGGGGGCTGACTTGACAACAGTTAACAACAACAACATTCTGGGCCAAGTGTGCCTTTGTGCATGAGAACCCACTGGGGCTCCAGGAAAGCAGCTTGAGGAGGAGGGGACTGTGCCCATTCCCTAAGCAAAGTACTGCCTAACTTGAGGACAATGAGGCAGACTGTATCCATAGAGTCATGAGGTCAGACCATCCAGTCCTCACCTTCAGCCAGCTGAACTCTTTTCCCATGCTGATACTTAATCTTCTGAGACAGGCTCTCCCTCCCACCTGCTGCTCCCAGCATCTCATGGGCCTCTCTGCTGGGAAGCTCTTCTTGAAGTCTAACCTCCAGCCCTCCTGCTGTAGCCAGAATGCAGCTTCAGGGGGCTATATGCTGTCCCTCACCAGACCTTTGGTTTCTCCTCTTTCAGTGTCAGGTTATCCAATAAGCAAGGTAAGCACAAAGTTACTTGTGCTTATTTACAATCTGTAGTGAACAATTTCACATTTATTCACCACATCAAAGATTCGCTTCTCTGTATAGCTGGCATCTGTCTCTCTCCCAAACTCACAGCTTCTTCCTATAGAATCAAAGCATCTTTTCAAGTTTACAGTCTGGGTCAGAGGAGCTTTGGTGGTGTAGTGGTTAAGGCATTTGGCTGCTAACCATAAAGGTGAGTGGTTCGAATCCATCTGGTGCTCCATGGAAGAAAGATGAAGCAGTCTGCTTCTATAAAGATTTACAGCCTTGGCAACCCAATGAGGGTCGCTATGAGCTCTGGTAGCATAGTGCCTAAGGCACTTGACTACTAACCAGAAGGCTGGCGGTTCAAATCCACCAGCCACTCCTCGAAAGGAAGGTTGGGCAATCTACTTCTGTAGTGATACTGCCTCGGCAACCCAAGGAGGGGTCGCTATGAGTTGGGGCTGACTCGATGGCACACAACAACAACAACAACAACATGACTTGGAATTAACTTGACAGCAGTGGGTTTGGTTTTGGGTTTTGGACAGGGGCAGAGTACCCAGTAAGCAAAGCAAACACATGCTTACCTTGCTAATTGAGTAACTCTCCTCTGCTCCCTCTCTTCCCAGGCCTGGAAATCACTCATTCAAGCCTGTTGCTGGCTGTGTTGCTCCCCAAGGCAGGGTTGCCAAACACAGCAGGCTCCAGCCCCTTGAGGGGGAAGGTTCGCAAGATGGTCTCCTTCAACAGGAAAGTGGAGACAAGATGCTACCAGCCAGAGGACAGGAGGCAGGATATGGCCCTGAAGGGCTCCCCTTTCCCAAGGGGTGCTCTGCACCAGAGCCAAGGCAATGGCAGCCTGGCTCAAGGGGGGGTTTGTGCTCAGTCAAAGCCCTCCAGAGGCAGGGGGAGATTGTGGGGAGAGCCTGAGGACTCACAGGTTCCTGCACGAGGGCAGTGGCCCCCAGAACCAGGTGGGTGCCACTCCTGGAACCCTTTTTCAGCAGCACCGGCTGGCCATTGCTTTGGCCGTGGCCAGCACCTCCACAAGCCCTCCTGTCCCCACCAGGCCCTGCTCCAGCACCTCGAATCCCTGGTGACTATGAGCCACCAGCTCCAAGCCTCACTGTGGCCTTCAGGCCAGCAGCTCTTGCCCTCACCTTTGGCAGTGTCTGCTCAGCACCCTGAAGCCCCTGGAATTCCTTGTCTCCCTACACCTCCAGAACCCCTGGGCCCAGTCCCTGACTCCCATAGATAGGACTAGGCCTGAGTGCCCCCTTCCCAGAGAGATCTGACCCTCCATCACCCACCAGAAGAGAGAGTCTTGGATCTGTTCACTGGTGCTGAACCCTGAGTTGTTTGAGGAGAGCCACAGAGGTGGAGGAGGGGGAACATCACCTCAACACACCTGTACTGTTTGAATTTCTTGTTGTGCAGAATCTCTTGCCTGTTTGGTGTTGATGTTTGGTTCAATAAAAAGTTGGACAGATTTGAAGCTGCACCTTCTGACTGGTCAGGAGAGCTCTCCTGCCTTTTGAGTTCCTTGTTTGAGGTCCTGAACCATCACTGTGCCCTCAGGGCACAGCTGTTGCCATATTGGCTCTGTGAGTGTTTTTCAAGTATTCTGAAACTAGCAGGGAAGAAGGGGTGAGGGGAGAGAAAAATGGGCAGAGGCTGTTGAAAGGGTGCCAGTTAAAAAACCATTTGGAATGGGGTAGATTCTGACTAATGGTGACCATGTGTGTCCGAGTAGAACTGTGCTGAATTGAGCTTTCAGTGGCTGAATTTTTAGAAGTAGTCCTTTGTTCCAAGGCACCTCCGGGTGGTCTCTAACCATCAACCTTTTGGTTCATAGCTGAGCGCTTAACTGTTTGCACCACCCAGGGACTCCTGAATGGGCACAGCCACCTAGAAATTGATAGGAAGAAAAAGGAAAGCAAGTTGCAATGGTTTAAAATTTTTTCAGTTACCAAGATTTTTTCCTTTGGATAGATGGGTGTAGTACATACTTCCATCTTCTTCTCTGTGTGTCTCTGTGCATCTGTGTGTGTCTATGTGCGCATGTGCCTGTGAACATTGTGTGTGCGTGTGCATGCATGTGTCTGCTTGCATGTCTGTGTGTGGGTCCCTGTTGAGGAAGGTGGGAGAGCCAGATGGAGCCTTCTTTTTCTCTAGCTTCTGCCACTCCCGGAAATTGAGAGTGGGCATTCAGGGTGAAGCTGTGGGCAGATGTTAGGGCTGGCTAGTGCTGCCTCGCCTGCACTGGGAATGCCAAGCGTCTCCATGTGCAGTGTACCTCAGGAGGGCTGACAGGGTAACTAACTGTCCCCTGGCTGACTGACTAGCGTGAGGAATCAGGGCCCAATTTGGGGAAGGGAACCCCTGCCAGGACCCTACTCTTCGCCCGGGCCTGATGGGGGTATCCTACCCACTTCCTCTCGAAGTCTATGTACGTACCGGCCTTGCCCTGGACCATGTTGGCCTGGAAAGAGTGGGGAGATGGGGTGGGGGGCAGGGAATCCCGATTCTCTGCCCCAAGAGCGCTGCGGCTGCCCTACCCGCGATCGACAGCAGAGGGGGCCCTCGGCCTTGGGATGGAGGCCGGGGCTGGCGGGTTGGGAGGCCGAGCTGAGGGCTGGACGAGAATTTAGTGGGATGGGTTGGAGGCGGGGGCATGGGGTGAGGGTTATCCGGGGAGCGGTTCTGGGCTCCTGCGGAAATGTTTCTGGCTCGGAAGGGCGTGGGAGCACCACAGCCTCCGCGCCATATGCAAATAATGCAAATTACTATGCAACCCTACAGCTCCAATCCTGAGTCTGCAACTTGGGTGGTTTTCCTAACGCACTTGGGGGTGTGGAGAGAGAAGGTTGTGCACATCCCCCAAATCCCGAGCGCAGGGCTTCCTCCGAGGGAGACTTCAGAGAGTCTTCCGTCCGAGTAGGTTTGCTGCCTTCCCTGGGCATTTAGAGAAGAACAAACTCCGTACTCTGGGTAGCGGCTTCCTTTCAGAGCTTCACTTTTCCCCTCTGTAAATAAGGGTGATAACACGGCTCTTTAATGCCTCGCCCCGCGGAAAGGGTTATAAGTGGACCCCAAGATCCTGAAGCCTTCGTCGAGGTTGGGGGCTGGATCGCATTGAGCATCACCTTCTGACCCAAGCCCACGAGGTCCTCTTTGCCTTCCTCCCTTTTGGCGGAGTCCAGGAGCGCGGATTCGGCAGGGTGTTGCTAGGGGGCTTGATACAACAGTTGCTAGGCTGGAGGGATGTTGCTAAGCAACGCTGGGCGGGGCTCGTGTTGCTAGGTCGGAGTAGGCGTTGCTGGGAATCCGAAGGGCCACCTAACTCCATTGATTTGAAAGAGGTCCCAGTTTGGCAGGGATCGCATTCCTGCTCTCGCCGAGACTCTCCGCAGCCTGCGGGCGACCCGCTGCCCCACTCTGGGCCTTGGCTTCCCCGGGCTACACACAGTCTTTCAAGGTTTTTCCGATTCACACCCTCTGCGACTTCGTGATCCTCTGGGCTCTGGAGCAAGGAACCCTGGGTCTTTATGCACGTTTGTCTATGCTCCTGCTTGTGCGAGAGGTGTGTGTGTGTGTGGGGGGGGGAGTCGTTTGGGTTTCCATAGTAACCGCTCTTGTATCACCCCCATTGCTCCCAAAGGTTTGAGCGGTTACTTGTGTAGATTTACATATATTTGCATGTCGTTAACATAGAGGTGGGACCGGAACTTGTTTGAGCTACTATCCCTGGACTGTTCCCTTGCTTCTAGCTCATCCCGCTGCATGAGCAGGTGAGGTGCGCATGCGGGAGTGTTTTGCTTTCTGATGTTAACAGATTTAGGGTGGGTGGGTGAGCCATAATGACTATCAGTTCCAAGCCTCCACCTCCCCTTACTGAACCATAGCATGAATCCTTCTAAGTATCCTTGCCCAGAAACACCCAGACCCCCGGCAATGCCAAGCCTGGTTCAAATACCAGCGCTGCTCTTTCCTGGCTGTGTGGCCTTGGGCAAGTTAAGTTCTCTGTGTGCCTCAATTTCCTTCCCTGTAGATGGGGAAACATCCTGTGGTGCAGTTGCATTCTATCACATGCAGTCACTATGAGTCAAAACCAAGTCAGCAGCACCTAACAGCAATCCCTAACTCACCAGGTTATGTGAGGGTGGGTTCAATGAGATACCGCTTTTACATGCACTTATTGCGGGTCTGGCACACGGCAAGCACCCAGGTTCTTCCCAACATCCTAAGAGACCCAGCTCCTCTCAGAATCCAGCCAAAGCAGATTAACTTCCTTTGCAGTTCAAGAGTTGGCAATTAGACACCAGTAAGAATTTTCAGATATGATGGCAACTGGATTTGAGGCAAAGAGGACTATTGGCTTGCTTGTTTATCCTGCTCGAAGGCCAGGTTGGTGGAGTGTGGGCACTCTCTCCCACAATACACACACATACACACACACGTTTCCACAAACATTGCATTCCTATCCCAAAGGTGGCTGCAGCCATGGCACCTGAGGTGGGGAGGCTGAGGAAGGATCTGTCCTGGCTGAGATGCCAGGGATGGATCAGGTCTGAGAGCAGGAACTTTACTTGAGGACCCACATGAGCAAGTCTTTACCAGAGAGGACTGGGGGACCTTGGGGCCACTTCCTTACCATTTCTGGGCCTCGGTTTCCCATGTGGCCAATGGGGACTCCTCTGCTGTAACTGAGGGCCAGAAGTCACCTTAGGAACACTCTCCCAGCCACAGCTGTGGAGCAGGACTGTGGAGGGAGTGAGTTCCCTGTCCTTGGAGTTATGCAAGCAGAGATGGAAAGGGACTCCTTGAACATGGTTGAGATAGAGCCCCAGATCCCCTCCTGGAAGTTCTTATTTGGGCTCCAGCTGCTCCAGATACCCTCCTCAACAGCTGCGAAGTACTTCCTGGGATGAACTCCCATCCTTCCCTCTGAAGAAGTGCCTTCTTCTTGCCCTGTTTTCTCCCAGTGTCTCTATAACCTCAACAGCCTTGACGGTTAGGACCAGAGGGAAGGCAGAGGATGGCTTAAAGGGGAAGAACAGTTCCACTCTGTGTGGATCTTACAGTTCTCCATTATGTTCAGATCATTAAAAAGAAATGAGGTTGGCTCCTATACTGGGCAGAGGAAGGCTGTTGGTGATGGGGAGAAGGTATAGGAGCTGGATTCTGATTGGTCAGTTGGCTTCTAGAAGAAGTAGGATGGCATGGGGGCTATCCCCTGCAGTTGTCACGCTGACCATTGTATGCGGCACTGCTGTCTGCCGGAGCATGGCAGTGGGCCAACTCCTTCCCTGGGAGCCACCTGTCCTCCACAGGTGAGGGTTCCAGGGACAGGCTGAGAACCTGGCCGTGCCTGGTTGGTCCGCCTGTGTCCCACTCTGGGGGCCAATTAAGTCTCCATTCCTAGCTGCGCCGATTAACAGTTAATAAGGCAGCAAACACCTGCAGCTATGGAGGCGAATTAAGAGCAACAGTCGGCATAATACACAACCCGATAAGTGAGCAGTTAACAACCAGAGAAAGATTAATAGAGGCAATTATGTCCTATTCGGAGCTCTGTAAATACGACTGTCAATGACTGGGGGACTCAGTCCTGTCCCACCCGGCCCCGCCCCAGGTCAGAGCCTCTTCTGGGAGGGGAGCCAGCCCAGCTAGCCTGTGGATTGCTGGTGGCCATGGAGCCATATACACATGGGACATGCCAGATATATATATATGTGACCACAGCCATAATGGATACGATACACTGCAGGAGATGGCTCACAGAATGTAGTCGCACAGATACACACATCCCCCACTATCACACATACTCACATTCACACAGATGGGTGCACATCCAGAAATATGCACAGATATACATAAAGACCCACACAGTGCCACAGAAACAATCTCCCTGTTATACATAGAGCTAGAGGCACACAGCCACACAGTACATTCAGATATATACAAACTTACCCATGTAGACACATAGCTACACATTCATAGTCACAGAAACATATGGGTATCTGCCCTACTTTGATCCCCACCTTGCAAAGAGTCAATCCATAGTGGGTGAGGACACTGGACCAAGAGAAGTGGGGTGAGGGTAAAAAGGAACATATGAGGTACAGAATGTGTATGAATATATATGCAAGCATGTCTGCATGGATGTGACTCTAAGCACCTGTGTGCTTGCAAGAATGAATGTATGTATGACTCTTACCCATTGATGGGTGTGGTAGTTCAGTTTGTGTGCCAACT